TGGGAGTGATCAAGAACCCATTTCAGTAAAACTTAACTAAAAATCAGAATTGTTTCAATACGACTGCTTGTGTACTTAAAACTACATACCTGCCTATCGACCCTGCTATACTGAGGCCCATGAGCTTTTTCTAAGTCTTAGAACTAATTTTGTCCCATCTTGCATGATGGAAATTTTGCTTAACTCCGATAAAAAACAGAATTTGGGCCTCATACCACAAAAAAAAGCATCATAATACTCCTTCAATGACACTGGAGCATACTGTCTCAGTGCTAAGAAGTTCTAAAAGACCAGGAGTGTCCACTCATTTCTTCAGAGATCGTTTAGTATATTTATTTAATACTTTACAGAATGGCACATTTTCCCCTTAAATTATTTGGTTAAATTCCAGGTTGCGGTGACAGCCTTGTCAGACAGACAAAAGGAATAATTCTGCTTGACTGAAGGACCTGCATCATAACACCATCTTTTACTCAAAGAAAATCCCAAACAATATAATTGGCATTCATGTACAAAGTGCTTAAATGCTCTGAAGTTCTGCCTGGCTTCAGAACAGCTGAACAGTATCTGAAGTATCTACTCTCCATCCCAATTTGTATATTTTAAAAGTCATTAAATTCTTGAATGAATCATTAGGAAAACAATTCAAATGCTGTTAAACTGATTGTAATTTTGCCTCATAGGATAGATGTGAGCTTAATGTTTGCAAACGGCCAAATTCTTTTAAGATTTACACTCCATGGAGTTCAATATCAACTAGGGAAGAATTACTAAATCAGGATGTACTTCAAGTACAGGTTTTGGCCCAAGACTATTTTTGGTCTTTCTCAGCTGCTTGTTTTGACAGCATCTAATCCCCCTCACCCACCCACCAGCAGCCACACAATCTATCCATTTACACTTTCAAAGCAAATTGAAACGTTTTCAAATAATTACTCAGGGATGTCTGTAATACAAATCCAAGAAGTAACTGCAATTCAACTGTAATGTTTCTCAAGGAGAAGAAAGGGAGGGGGAGAAAAATCTTCCAGAAATCCATTCAAAATGTAACTGTCTCCTATACTAACAGTCTCATCAGCACCACACACCCCCCAAAATTTAAAAAAAAGTTAAAAAATAAAAAAAATCAATCAATCTAATTCCCAAAGAGCCTATTTAATCTATTTCACACATTCCCATCAGAAACACAACACTTTCCACATTCAGAAGACTTTTCATTTAGTGAGCTGTTACAGACCCTGGTGAAAGAACAGTAACTGAGGTCTTCTGCAGGGGCACCAGGCAAAGAGGGAAGGTGGGTGAAGGAGGAGAAATACCCAGGGTTGGAACTGAAACAGTTCACCTTTGTCTGGAGAGCAGGATCACCCCCTCCAGGTTGAGGACTATGTCAGAAGAACACGCTGCTGTGGCGTGCAGTATGGTTTTGCATTCATACAGGAGAGGAACCTGGCCCACAGATGGCCTGTTCTCAGCTTTGTCAGCCACAAACAGACCTTTGAACTTTCTATTTATATAACAGTTTAGTGAGTTTAAGCCTCTTCCTGTATAACTGGCAGTTTGCTGGTTTTGCTGTAATTAGGCTACTTGTGATACATAATACAAAAAAGAAAAAAACCCAAGAGGCTTGTTTCTCTGCAGTGAGAAGTCTTCCTCATCACAACCACACAGCTACAGCGGTACTCCTACCTGCTGATCTTCTTTCCCTTTGCCAGGTTTTATTTTATATACCTCAATATGCATTTTTCCGCTAAGTATTTTCTTGACTTCTACGTTTTTTTAAAAGATTGGACGACTTAAATATTATTAATACCAATGACAATAAATATAACATAAGCCATGAATCTCTCTGCCTTTGTTTGTGTTAGTGAGGAGCTATATATTCTGGGGTGGTTGGGTTTTTGTTGGGTTTTGTTGTTTCGCAGCTGCTGATTAATGGCACCACCTTACTCCATAAGCAGGTTCAAATCTAGCCACATGGTCCCAGGACACTTCAAGATTTCATTTACTTGGTTACCACAGACAAGCGTGGAAAGTGATTTAAAAGATGAAATTTGATTTTTAACAGCAAGTGGTCCCCTTGGTGCACACAGGCATTCAAGCTTTTCATTATATCCATCTCCCTTCCTTTCTCCCTCATAGACTGGCTCATATTAAATGCAAGCCCAGGTGAATGCTTCTTATTCATCCAGGAATCATAGCAGAGTTTAGCTTTGGCCCCTTCACCTCAGCCAGAGTTTAGATTCATTTAAATTATTTTGGAGTGTTTTTTTCCAGCATTTCATTTCTGGAAAAACATCCACTAGGATATCTGTAGGCTAATTTCATGCATTTTACCCCCAAAAACCCTACACCAACCCTCACTACCCTCCCAACCACACTCTTTATGACGGTTCAATGAAACACCTCGTTCTTATACTACTGTGATCTCACCTAACATGGGAACCTCAAGGGCTGATTCTGCAGTTTGGATTAAGACAAAGCTCCCACTAATCATCCGGAATGCCAGGTGAGAATTTAAGAACACATGCAGTGGCAGTGAATGCTGTAACTCTGACAGTTCCTGACAAAATACGTTTCAAGAAGTGAAACAAACATGTACCTCCATTGAGGGAAGAAGGAGAGGGAGGGAGGGGGGAAATTAACTATATTTTTCCCATCAGCCCAAAACTTTTGGGGAGTCATTTCCTAACATATTGACAATGCATGGAAAGTGCTACCTTTACACCTTTTCACTGGATTTAAAAAAAAAAATAAATAAATCCCTGCTCGAGCTATAATTGTATGTGTATATACACATACATTTCTCAGGCTAACTATGTTTCTGTTTTACTTTGCATACAGATAATACATACAAACACCCACACACGCTGTAGGCCTGAGCTTGCCTTCTTGGAGATTGCAGCACAGATTAGCAGAAGTTTTGGGTTTGCAAGGAATGCAGAAGAGGGTCTCTAACTGCCTTATAAATGCTCGTGAAACACGTTTTACAAAGGCCAGTTTACAGACGGCAGGAAGGTGTATGGCTTCAAAACGAAGCAGCAATTCACACATCATGTTATAATATTTATTTGTAAATACTATGAAGTAACCATACCATATGGGATGCACGGGCAAAAATTAATAATCTTGATGGGTTAGCATACATATTTCTGGCTGTGCAGAGATGATGCATGTATAACATATTACATATACACACATGCACATGTTTATGCACAGATGAGCTAAAATCAACTCTCCTTAAGCACCCCAGCTACTTGTCAGACAGAAGTCTTTACATGCACAATAAAATACATGTAATGTTTGTGTATACATGTAGATTATGTACCTCCATACTATATACATGTGCATGTCCATATACTAATTGGATTATTAAAAGCTAAATCCAACTTGATCTCTGCAGTAAGTAATTATGCGTGAACGCCTGTGCCACAGAGAGAGTTTGTGTAGATATCAAAGACTTGAAACAGACAAAGTAAAAACATTCTATCCTCTTGGACCCTAAAAACACTAGAGCAAATAAATTTCACTGTACGAAAGCAAGCAAATGGAATTTCTAGACCGAGCAGCAGTATGTTCATATTTTATGGAAAAACAGAGGCACAAGAGTTCCCTTCTTTCTGATGCACATCTCTAAATCCACATAAAACCGTAGTCAAATGAAAGTAAGTTATTAAGCAAACATTAAAACTCAATACCTATAATGTGCTTAGTATTTGAACTACACCCACATATTGGGTTGTAACAGCTTCTATTAAATTAATGATGTTACCCACACTATAAATTAGGCAAATTGTATGCAAATATTATTTGAGTAGTAATATGGTGGTTATCAGTTGTCTGCAAAATAAATTAGTGTAGCAGAGTAAAGATAGTGTGGTAGAAGCATAATATTTAATTGAGCACTAATTTTATTGTGATTATTACTTTTAAATAACAACAGTATGGTTATTAAAAGATGTAATACAATGGTTTATGTAGAGCTGATAAAACATGCTCATGATCCAAAATGCCTGCTTACAGATTAATATTGATACAGTGTAATTTACGGTTCCAAGGATTTACTCCAAACTACTGTAAAACAGAACGTGACAGGTATTTGGTTCTGATTATCTTGGATTTGCAACCATAGCTGTTAGACTGTTTGGCAAAATGATAGCTATTAACTAAATATATTATCTTTTTCCTAGACATACCTTTATATTATCAACAAAGTAAAGTAAAGCCTCTGCAAAACACGAGGTCCAAATGCACATGCATACACACATATAATCTGTGTGACATTTAGAGATTAGTGTTGCAAAATACAGTATTTTAGTCTCTCTCTTTCTTGGCAAACTGCACTCCAGCCTAAAAGCATATAACAAAGCAGTAAGCAACCACTGAATTTCACCGTGCATAGCTAAAGAATTATAACTATATTTGTAAATTGAAAAGTAAAGAAAGAACCAATAAAAACAGTCGAAGCATAATCTCATTAACCAGCCGGGGAAGCGACTAAATACCTACACAAATTCTAACTTTCCCAGCTACTTGTCACCCATCGAGAATTCCTTAACATTCACTTTGGTAACAAGTTTACAATACACTCCAACAGATGCACCGAGGTGCGCAGAGCAACATAAAACTAAAATTCTTAAGAAAAAAAAAAAAAAAAGGTCCTGTAGAAGACACAAACTTTCCAATTTGAGTTGTCTAAAAAAAGAGGAAAAAAAGGACAAGACCAAAAAAAAAAAAAAAAAAAAAAAAAGAAACATAAATAAAGAGGAGGGAGGGGGGATTTAGGAGGGAAGACCTGTTATGATATCACGGGGACTGATCGTCCCACTTCCAAAACTAACTTCAACCACGCTTCACCCGGACCAGCAAAAAAAAAAAACCAAACCAAAACCACCCCCAGCACCAGAAGCCCCCACGCCGAGCGGGGCTGCAGCCGAACTGTGCCCACCCAGCAAAACTCCAGTTGCGTTTCCCCCCCGTGAAAGGGACATTGTCACACTGACAGCGGGAACCACCGGCACCGAGCAGAGCCGCGATCCCGGGCCGAGCATCGTCCCCCCGGCACCGCGTCCCCGCTCGGGGCTGGCTGCTGTCGCGATTTCAAGCCGGCACCCCGGCACGTTTCAGCGCTTCTCTCCCCCCCTTCCTCCCTCCCCACAAAACCGCCCCCGGCTCCGGCCAACTTGGCCCGCCGCAGCCGGGGAGCTGCTCCCCGCCAGCCCCGGCCCCGGCCGGCCCCCGGCGCGGTTCACCCGCGGGCGCAGCGCGGAGCCGCTCGCCGCCGGGCACCGGGCGCTTCGCCCCGCAACAAAGGCTAAAGCACCGGGGGAGCGGGGAGGAGAGGAAGGAGGCAGCTGTGAGGAGGAGAAGGATGGAGAGACAGAGAAGAAAAAAAAAAAAGAGAGAGAAAAGAGAAAAAAAATAAAATAAACACAAAACAAGATTGAAGAGGTGAAGAGGAGAATCCAGTCCTCTCCTTTTGAAGCTTATTGCCAATATGTTGAGAAGTTT